GCTGCGCGAGCTCGACGGTTCCCCGGGGCGTCCTCGACGCCCCCTAAGTTATGCTGCGCAAGTGCCGACGGCGGTTGTGGCGGTGGCGATGCTGGCGGTGCGCCCACTGTCCTTAGGCGCTTTTGTGGTGTCGCACCGGTGAGGCCCATGGGCACGTTGTCGTCTCCTCCAGGGGGTGATGGTGGAGAACCATTCGTTCCTCCACCTCCGCCTCCGCCTCCTCCATCGCCAGGTGGCGGGCCATCGTCGCCTCCAGGAGCTGGCGGCTGCTCTCCAGCTGGAGGCTGTCCAGGCGGCGGCGGCGGGCTGCCGTTCACGGCGTGCAATGCCTGTCCCCATGGCGCGAGCTCGGCTGCAGTCGCCCGTCGTGGGCGTCCACAGTCGACCATCACTACGGTGGAACGGTGGCTGGCCCGCGCGTTCGAGGCGCCCTCAAACCCAATGATGGCGCCGGGCCCATGCCACTGCAATGCCCACTCACGCTTGGGCTTGCCGCCGCCCCCCCTCCAATAATGCGCCTGGTCTCCCGTCTGGCACACGTCTCGCGCGTGCTGAGCTCCGTCTGCGCGCGATCGCGCGCGTAGCGCCCGGGACAGGGACTGGTTGAAGCGCGAATGCTGGATGGACGTCTGAGCGGTCCTCATGATAGCAACTCTCTCAGAGAAGGGCTTATCAGAAACTACCCTCTCGTGTAGCGAGAGCCTCCCAGCGCTGTCCAATAAGCAATATGGAATAGAAATCCACGCCCGAGCACCCACCGCGCTGTCAAACAGCCAGCGACGTGGACTGAGCTGTTCATGGCCCAGCTAACTGCGGCAAGTCGCCACTGGATTGTGGGCGTTCGCGGGCCGGTCGAACCTGATGCTGATCTGGTCGATCAACTTCCTCGCGTGAACCTTCCACGTGCCGCCGCGCCTCTCCACGTTGGCTCTCTGCTGCGGTGCAGCCGCCGCAGTAGTCATGAGGCGGCAGCCCATGTCCTCGAGCTCCTTCGAGAACTCCCTCTCGAACTCACCTCCCGCCTCGAATATCGCCCGCGATGGTGGCCCAAACGGTGTGATCCATCTGCAAAAGCCTGGAGAACACGACCGAAGGGTGTCTTGAGGAGACTGTACCATATAGCGTAAATGCAGAGGCGAGGTCGACCACGTTTAGGAAGACCAGCAGGTTGCCGGCGCAGTCGGCAAGAGTGATCAAATCCACCTCAATAGAGTCGTTGTCCCTGTCGAGCTCGATTCCCCCAGGTAGGTGCGGTAGGTCGTTGATGGGCGGCGCGCACTTCGCCATCTCGACCGCTCTTTGAGATCCACCCGTCACTCGGATCGCCCGGGCCAGCGCGCCATTGGAAGGATGCCCCGTATTGGCGTGGAGCTGCGCGATGGCGGACTTAAGGGTATGCTCCTCTGCCGCCGTTAATGATGGCTCGACTGGGGCCGCTGGAGCTGGTGCCGTTCTCCTAGCGGCTCTCCGTCTCGCTGTTCCAACGGGGTTCGCATCGCGGCGCGCCGAGCGCCGTGGCGAGTTCGTCGGTGCACTTCTCGCTGTCCTTGGCGAGTCGGCCACGGGCTTCAACGTGCTTGCGCGTGCCGTCGCAAAACTTGCGCAGCGAGTCGTCGATCACGTAATGATCGGCGATGATCCTCCACGGCTTCTTGATTGGGTCCCCCTTCTTGGTCTTCAGGTAGCAGGCGCAGCCGTCGAAGTCGATGGCGCGCGGGAGCTGCCTCTTCAGCGCATCTGCGGTGTAGTTCTTCATATGGCCCCAGCCATGACAATGGTGGGGCCACTCGAGCGAAACCGAGAGCTGGTCGCCGAAATCTTTGCGAAATCGGCTCATTGATTCCAGGAACAGCTCGATCATCTTCGCGGAGTGGCTCCTGTCTGCCTGTGGCTGCGCAGCCTCGCTGGGGTCGACCTTGAGGATGAGGCGCTCCCATGCAGTCCATGGCGCGCACGGAAAGGCGGCGCGTGCTCGTGCGCTCTTCCCCCCTCGCAGGTCCACCCTGATTTTGCCCTCTAGCATATTCACTGCCACCCTTCGAGAGAGATCGTAACCTAGAGATCCACGGCGAGCAGCAGCTCCTCCATTCATAATCCACTTAGCGCGGAGCTTGCTGTCGGGGTTGCAGCGCCACTCGAAGAGCGCGGTCGCGTTGCGTCTCGAGACCAGACACGGGCGCGTAGCTGACTTGGCCAAATCAGCGTCAGGGCCTGGAGACCGCGCGCGGCAGGATGCCGCTCTCGTTAGTCGTGACGGCCGATCGTTTGCCGGCGATGCGCAACTTCTTCCTGCCATTCTTGAGGTTGCGCGCTATCATCTGCTCCTCCTCCACGATGTTGACCTCATTCGGCTTGCTGCCGTTGTCGATGCCCAGCGCGGCCGGGCGGCCGAAAGCGCGCTCGGAGCAGAGCCCGAGGCGCGGGCATTCATCGCGGGGCTTGACGCCGCAGGCCACGCAGTCGTCGGTGGAGTAGACGACGCAGACGGTCGTCGGCTCCAGGAGCGTCGTAAATGCAGGCGGCGTCACTGCTGTGGAGCAGCAGGCCAGGGCAGATGCCGCGGCGGTCATAAGCTGTGACCCGGTGACTCGGCGCGGCTGGAGTCGCCTGGGTACGTTTAACTCCTTATTGGGGATGAGCTTCATGATGGGCTCGGCCAGGGGGTCCGCCGTGGTCGTCGCATTGACCGCAGGTAGTGAGGCCGTCTTGTTGTTGCTGTTGTTGGCGGTCTTGGGTTCGGCGATCTTTGGGTCGAAAAGCCTGGCCCGCGTCCTCGTTGGTGAGCCACTCCCCCGGATGGAGATACATGGTAGGATGCCCCGCGCTGCTGGTGATGAGCTTCTGGGAGTGGTATCCGATGCGCATCTGCTCCTTCCAAAACAAGATGTCAATCTAGGACGGCTGGGCAAAGTCCCAGCCGATCAGCAGGCCGAGCGCGGGGCTGTCCACGACGCTGAACACGGTGCGCCCAGCGCGACAGCGCAGCACGAGTGGGGCGGCGACGCGCAATTTGCTTGGGAGCGCGCCACCGCTCCCGAACCTGATCTGGTCGTCGAGCCCCATCTTCACGAGCCTGCCCCTGCGCTCCTTGCGCCGCCCGAGTCCACCTGGGGTAAGCAGACCTTCTGGATGTAGCATCACTTCTTCGTCGCCGAACTCCACGCGGTTCTGGTCGGTGACCTGCTCAGCGATGCTGGCCTGGCGGCGCGAGCGGCCTCCGACCCTTCGTCATCCGCCTTCCTGCTTGTCCTTTGGGACATACTTGCGGGCGCCCAGTGCAGGGCCCCCCTAGTCGCCGGGCCAGCCAGTGCCCCTTCTCGCTGCAACGCTGCGAGGTCTTCTTGCGCTGGTCCACGTGGCCTGAGGTCCCTGCCAGCGGGTCGGCGCTTCGGCGCGCCTTTCCAGCGGCCCCTGATGGCCTCCCGGGCCGACCGAATGGTCGCCGTGGCCTCGGGAATCGCGGCGAGCTCCGCCGCGGCGACCTCCGCCTCGGCAGAATCGTCGCGATCGAACACCTCGCCGAGGTCGAAGTTGGACATCTCCAGCTCGCCGCTGACGGCTTCGAGCCCCCGGCGAACGATATCCTGGACGTCAACCTCGGCATCGCCGTCGTCCTCCGACTCGCTCCTGTCGCCCTCGGCTCGTCGACGACATTCGCTGAACGAGTTCGGCTCTATGATGAACGCTGCCAGCTGCTGCTGGCTGGCTGCGGCCACGGCCGCGACGGCATGCAGGCGGTCCGCTCGGACGAATAATTGTCAAGGAACATCCGTACGAGCAGTCGTCGGATTCGCTGGAATGAGTAGTGTTCGCCGGGCAGGTTGCCGCATGCTCGTTCACGTCGTTATGCTGCGAGTCCCGCTTTCCGTAGTAGGCACCAACCGGCAGCGTCATCCAGTGTGGTGAGATTCACTTCATGTTCAAGAATAAGCTGTTGAAGACCAGCCTTGAAACGTTCGAGCCAATCTGTCATGCGTTCCCGTCTTCTGTGGTGGTGCTGCGTTGATTCGAACAACTTCTCGAGCGTCTCTCCCTTTTGCACTGGTTTGTGTTGTCCAAAATTTGTCCCGAGATGTCTGAGTACGTTCTCGATTCCCTGGTGGTTCCGCAATCGTTTCCTGTCGGCAGGCTCCTCGATGTCCTCTGGAGCCGGCGGGTGTCGGTCCTCCTCGGACATGTTGAGCGCGGCCGATCGTGCCGCGCCCGTGAGCTTGAGGACTAGTTGTGATGCAAGGGCGTCACTTGAAGATTCTCGCTGGGCTTCCATCGCTTCACTTCCTGTTTGTAATCTCCCCACTTCGCAGGATCCCCGTTCCAACTTGGTCTGACTGTCGGATTGTGACTTTGTTCCGTCACGTTTGCACTGGAAATCGAAATAAGATGGTAGACTATGTCGCTGACACTCCGGGCAAGCTAGGAGCACCCATGGCTGGATCCACGTGTGGAGGATCCAGTGGCCACCTGCTGGATGCACGTGCAGAGGGGCCCGATTGCTTGGCCATGAGGGCAAAGCACTGGAAAGACGCGGCCACGTGCCATTCCAGCTCTCGCCCAGGCTGGCAGCGTCATGTGTATCCAGCTCCCTGGCACTGCCCATTGGCTCGGACCAGTGGCAAATCACCTGCGGGAGATCATCTTGCTCGAGTCCGCTCACAACTCCCGAGCCCCCACTGGTGAACCCGTGCTGGAAGGTTGAGGGAAAAAGATCCGACGTTCTGCCTTAGAGCTATATGTTTAAGTTGCTTACCGGCAAGCGGGAAGCGATGTATGCCGTAGGCGCATATATATATATATATATATATACGAAATCTGGCTGTAAGGAATGTGCGCACATGATTCATCCATAGTTGAGAGTCCTACGGCCGAAGGTGCCCCCGAGCTTCTGTGGGTCCCTGGGTCCATCGGGTAATAAGGAACTTTCCGTGGGGCACCTGCTAGCTGGCCGATTTCTTATTTGATGCGCCTGCTGTAGAACAGGTGTGGAAAGCGTGCGCGCCTGCCTCCATCCACAGCGAGCCCGCCTCCGACTTGTCGGAATGGTGCACGCCCTGGTGGCCCTGGCGGCTCGCGCAAGTGTGCAAGTGCCCACAGCACCAAGCTGCTTCGGCATGCCTCCTCATCTCCTCACGCATCAAAATCAAATTTGACAGACCACAGGGCTATGATCAAGGAAAAGCGGCACCACCACCACCAGCGTGAGGATGTGTCCTCCTGGTGATGTGGTTCCAACTGCTCGCTCGAGACGTCCCCTACCCCCAGCTCGGAGCGACATCCTGGACCTCCCGCCTGGAGGTGGCGCCACTGGTGGTAGTGGAGTCACTTTTCTCTCCTCCGAAAGGCATCGCACAACACATCCGCAAGTAACACAACCGAATCAGATCGAAAGAAATTCAACCGTATGCGCGAGCCACCTGCAGAATGCAGCGCAACACCTCGGCGACAAGATGGGTGAGGTCCTTTCGAAGCTGGGCTCGGCAAGGCGCCCGCCCCTCCTGGCGTGCTTCGCGCTGAAAGTTCGTCAGCCCCCGCGGCTGGCCCCGTGCCCTCACGGGACGTAGATCCCGACCATTCGGGGGTGGTCAGAGCATCCTTCAGCCAAACGCCCTCTGGTGAACACAACCCAAGATACCAGCTCCGGGGAGGTTATTGGAAGTGTCTTGTGGCGTATTGGCACTACGGTGGGGGCGTTCGTTGAGGAATGTGCCCAGGAGGATTCAGACCCTGGAGGATTCCTTATCTGATGAGGGCGGCGGTGATAACCATGGTCAAACCTCGATTGGTGTTCCACCAGCTTTCAGACCCTGGATTCCTTATCCAAGGGTTCCTTATCCAAAGCCCTCACCGTATCTGGGAGCCTCTTGGAATTCTCCCCGTCTGGGGACAGGCTGTCGTTGTGGGTGTCGTTGTCGATACCCCCAAGCTTGAAAAGGGAAACGGGCTTCAGATCCGGAACATGTGAGCGACGAAAAGAAACGGATCCCACGCGAGATGACACAGCGACCTCAGGCGGTGGCACGCGCGGGCCGCCAGCGCGGCACGCTACTTTGGAAACGAGGGCGCTTACGCTCGACCTTACGCGGGCAGCTTGCGCGCGAACGTCGGCGCAATCGAGTCCGTTCTCTTCCGTCGTTCATATGCGTTACTTCGTTTAGCACCTCTTCGAAATCTATTGACTTGGGCAGGGCTGGCCCCCGGGACCCCCACTTGTGGCAGCGGCAGCGGCCCAGGGGGGGGGTCCCTGGCCGCGGTCGCATCTCATGTGCTTAAACTATCTTCCCTTCTGCAAGCCCCTCCCGCTCCACATCGCATCCAGCCGCCACGCAGAGAGCGGGCGCCTTGCTGCAGAAGGATCTGCAGAATTCGGTGCCGCCAGGGCACGAATCCTCGGGGCGGCCAGGCACCAGGGGAGGGCTGCATCGACGCGCCACTTCGTTGTCTTCGCTTACGCTTCCGAAATGATCACTCTGGAGCCCGGCGAAAACTGCACGCAGATCGGATGCTATCGTGTGAGGGAGCGTGGTGAGAAACGAGCTGAAAAAACACGGCCATCAGTGACCCCTCGAGGAGTGTCCGCCCTGTTCGACTTCCTCCTCCGTCTCCTCCTCCTTTTCCTCCTCCTCCTTCTCTCTCTCTCTCTCTCTCTCTCTCTCTCTCTCTCTCTCTCTCTCTATATATATATATATCCCTCTCTGGGCCATGAAGTCATATTCTGATTCGTACTCCTCATCCTCTTCATCCTCCTCCTCCTCCTCCTCCTTCTTCTCCTCCTCCTCCTCCTCCTCCTCCTCCTCCTCCTCCTCCTCCTCCTCCTCCTCTCTCTCTCTCTCTCTTTTTCGTCGTCGTCGTCGTCGTCGTCGTCGTCGTCGTCGTCGTCGTCGTCGTCTCTCTCTCTCTCTCTCTCTCTCTCTCTCTCGTGTACATATATACACACACCTGCATATATACATATATATACCTCTCTCACTCTCTCTCTCCCTCTCGCTCCCTCCCTCTCTCAGCCGTGAAATCATCCTGACGTCCTCCTCCTCCTCATTTTGCACCGCGGCGTGCTATAGTGCGGCGGCCAGCGCGCGCGCACGCTGGGCAGCCAGGTCAGGCAAATGAGCGGCGGAGCATCCTCGATGAGACATGCCCCGAATGTAGCTCATGCACCCCCGCGGAGCCTTAGTCGGCTACGCGCAAGAGTGATCCTAGGCAAGAGTGACCTTTGGTGCGCGGCTTACCGGGGGGCGCGGGGTGGCCAAGCCTGGGCGTGCACGCCGCTGCTACCGCTTCGCGTTCAGCGATCGGGGGACCCATTAGGCTCACAACAAGGGTCACTCCGGCAAAAGGTCACTCTTACGTCTCGGGCCCAGGCCTGACGCCCGCCGAGCAACCGCCGAGGCGGCGCGGAAAGGGAGGCGCCGAGGCACGGGCGCGGGAACGCCAGGGAAGAGGGATTGCCGATGGCGGCCACGCACTTCTTCCCCAGACGTCTGACGTCGGGCTTTTGTTCACAGCGCGGCTCCCCAGAAATCTGGAACCCTTCCCGGGGACGGGTTTTTCTCTCTGACTCGCTCTTCCACAGTCCCGGGGCCCGGCCAGCGCCCCTGGGAGCCGAGAGCGGCCAAGTCTCCCCCGACCCATTCGCCTCCACGACGGCTGCCGGCAAAGCAAAAGTAGAGAAAGAGAGAGAGAGAGAGAGAGAGAGAGCGAGAGGGAGAAGGCTGCGGGGTGGTGTGGCGCGCCTGCCAGGGCCGGATGCACTTGCCAGCTCCCTCGCACCAGACGTACCTGCGCGGTGGGGGACGATGGAGGGAGGAGACACGAATGAGCGGGCAAGGGGGAGGATGCTTCGAGAGGGGAGAGGGGGGGCAGGAGGAGGTCTTCCTGTTCCTGTCGCTCTGGCCTGCCATGCCCTCTGCTAATCAGCAATAGAACTGTCGTTTAGTCGAAGGGGCACGGTGCGCTGTGCCATAGTAAGGGTCGGCGAACCCGTGGGTTAGCTGCCACGGGCCAGTGTGGCCTTGGCAGGCTTTCTCTTTCCAGTTCCCTCTCCACCATGGTGTATGTATCCTTTCTTGCGCTGCCGACCTCCTATGCTTCGATGCTTGTCAGACTTGCTTGGCTGCCCTTCCTGGCGTTCGTGTGTGCGTGCGTGTGTGATCGCGGCGCTCAAGTTAAAGCTGCTGTTCGGCCAGAGCGCGGTAGACAGTCTCACCCACTCGCTGCCGACTAGCATCATCATGAGCTTGGCGTTGTCCAGGATATTGAGGTGTTATATCTGGGGGGCGGATCGGCGTCTCGCTTTCCGTCTGTCTGTTACTACGACGTGCTACCTGGCATCGGGCTCGGGCGACTCCGCCATCCGAGAGAGCGCGTTTCACGGGCGCTTGCCTTGGGAACAATCGGCGGCGCGTTTCGAACAGGGGTGTGGGCCCCCCCCCAACACTCGGCGCCGTCGATCAGAAACAACGGGACTCCCCTCCCCCCTAAGCCCCCCCCCTCCCGAACCCCCCCCGCCCTCCCAGGAGGGGGGGGTCCAAAACCCGCCCCCCCCCGCCCTGGCGCCGAGCAACGCCGACGGCGGGGACGCAGCGACGATGACCAGAGAGGGCACAAGGGGCGGGGCCCCCCCCCCGCGCTGGCGCAGGCGCCGGCGCTGGCGGCGGCCAGCAGAGCCGACGGCGGGGACGCAGCGACGATTACCAGAGAGGCCGCAGAAGGAACACACAAATCGCCACATCGAACCCTCGCACCCCAGAAGCCACCGAGAGGGCCTAAGGAAGGTCCAGGAGGCTTCACACATGCTCCTCAGACGCCCCCGAGACCCTTCTGACGAGACCTCAAGAGGCATCCATTAGAACTCTGACCCAAAGACGAAACGGAGCCGAAGGCCACACCACCACCACCACCACCAAAAGCCACAACACCACCACCACCACAACCATCACCACTACAACCACCACCACAACCCACCACCACCACAACCACCACCGTCACCTTCAACCACTACACAACCACCACCAAAAATGCCACACCAGCACCACCAGAACCCACCACAACCCACCACAACCACCACCAAAAAACACAAACCTATTACCAGCAGCATCGCCACCACCGCCACCAACACAACCATCACCACAACTTACCACCACCACCACCACAAACCACCACACCACTACCACCACCACAACCACCACCACTACCACCACCACCACCGACGACCCACCACCCACCCCCACCACCAGCACCGCTACCAGCACCAGCACCAGCACCACAAACCACCACGCCACCACCACCACCAAAAACCACCACACCATTACCAGCACCATCGCCACCACCGCCACCACCACAATCACCACCACAACCCACTACCACCACCACCACAACAACAACAAACCACCACCGCGAATCACCCACCACCCACCACCCACCACCAGCACCACTACCAGCAGCACCACCACCACAAATCACCACGCCACCACCACCACCGCCACCACCAATACTCCACCACCACCACCTCAACCCACCACCCCCACCAGCACCAAACCATCACCCATCCACCACCATCACAAACCACCACCACCACAACAACTCACCACCACCACCACCACCACAAGAACCCACCACCACTACCACAATCTATCACACCACCACGCCACCACCGCCACAACCACCACCACAACCCACCACACCACCACCACATATCACCACACCACCACCACCAACACCACCGCCGCCACCACCACCACCACCAGGACCACCACAAACCACCGCCACCACCACCACCGCCAGCAACAACCACAAACCACCACACCACAACCACCACCACCGCCACCACGACCACCACCACAACCACCCACCACCACCACCACAAACAACCACCACGCCACCACCAAACCACCACCACCGCAACCACCACCACCAACCACCACCACAACCACTACCACCACAACAAACCACCACACCACCACCACCACCACTACCACCACCACTACCACCACCACCCACAACCCCACCACAACCACCACAACCACCACCCTAACCACCACCACCACAACACAACCACCACCACCACAACAAACCACCACCACAACCACCACAACCACCACCACCACCACAATCCACCACCACCACCACCACAACCACAACCACTACCACCACCACAACCACCACGACAATCCACCACACCACGACCGCCACCACCACCACCACCACCACCACCACCACCACCTGAACCCACCAACACCACCACAACTACCATCACAACCACCACCAGAAACCACCGCACCATCACCACCACCGCCACCACCACCACCACAACCTGCCACCACAACCACCAACAACCACCGTCACCACCACCAACCACCACACCACCACCACCACCACCGCCACCACCACCACCGCCACAACCACCACCACCAACAACACCACAGCCCACCACCACCACCACCACCACCTCAGAGAGGCCCCACGAGACGCCCAAGAGGCGCCCAGGAGGCTTCGCAAATGCCGTTCAGAAGGCCCCGAGAGCCCTCCGACGAGACCCCAAGAGGCATCCATTAGGACTTTGACCCAAAACTATGGCACGGTGGCGGAGCGTCGTCGTCGTCGTCGTCATCGTCGTCGCCGTCGTCCTCGTCGACGCTCCCCGCCGCCGGCGCCGCCGCCACAGGCGCCGGCGCCGGCCCAGAAGAGGAAGTCGTCGCCCCCGCCGCCGCCGCCAGCCGCCGCCGACGCAGGCGCCGGCCCGAGGAAAGGGAGAGAGGAAAAATAGAGGAGGCGGGGGGTGAGGGGGGAGGGAGTCCGGTTCCAACCCCCCCCCTCCAAGCGACCCCTTGTCTTCCTTGCCTGCGTTCGGCCGCGGCTGGGCGCAGGCCATCTGACACCGCGGGCGTGTCTCCACCATGGACTGGCTAAGAAAAGAAGATGAGGAGGAGGAGGAGGAGGAGGAGGAGGAGGAGGAGGAGGAGGAGGAGGATTTTCCGCGACGACCTTGTGGCAGAACGTCAGCTTCAACAGCAGCGGCTATCGCCTGGATGCCTCCTCCTTGGCCTGAATTCGGGTTGCCAGCGCTCGCAGACGGTCGGAATCGACCAAGCGAGACGACCCAGCAGCGAGAGGGCCTGGAGGGGCAAGAAGCCAGCCTGAAGACGAGTGAGCACCTGATTTCCCGCAGTGCCCAACTTCTTGTGACAGGTCTGACCTAGCAAGTAGCATCGCCTGCTGGTGTAGGCCCCGCTGACAAAACAGAAAAACAGCGGTTTTTGGGTTTTGCTCAGGATGGCAAACCCCAACTTATGGTACCGCTCGGTCTCAGCACCCTGGAGGCGCCTCAGAGCCGTGGACAAACCAGCACAACCGTTCATCGGGCGGGACTCGCCATCGAACGAAATCATGAAACATTTCTTACGTCTGAAAGCGGGTCGATCGCCACTGAGCTCATCCCAATCGTGCCAATCGGGCGGGGGAGGAACTCTAGGCAACCGCTTCTCTTTCGAGGGTCTCTCAAAGTGCAGCTTAGGAAAAAGAGAGAGCACCTTCCCGAACATCAGAGCACACGCTCGAAGGGCCTGCACCTGCCTATCCAGGGTCTCCAGATCAGCAGGGGCAGGCTGAGGATGAAGCGAGAGAGCGAACTTAGCCAGGCGGTCAGCGTCCTGGTTGGCTAAAGCTATTCGCTTCTGGTCAGGGGGGAGGGCCTGTATGATAGCATCCGACCGATGGGCGGGCGTATGCTGGGCCTCCCCCAGGGCATCAAATCCAGGCGACTGCTGCGCGGCACGGCGGAAGCCCGCAAACATTCCCCGCGGGCACAGCTGCGCATCATCCGAGAGATTATGCAAGCGCACGGCCCCTTTGCAATCACTGAAAGGAGAACTCATGCCCGAGCTAAACGCACAAGCAGTGGCCAGGCCCAGATGTTCGGCCGCCTGGGGCGTTTGGTGCAACACTGGCCACACAGTAGCCATGAAGCGGGTCCGAACCTGGTAAACGTCCCCTGGTTCCAAATAAACTCCCGCGCAAGCAGCGCGGTTGAGCTCCATAACTGGGTACTGGGTGGCCGAGCCGTCGACCACTAAGTCACAGCTCTCACTCCGTTCTACAAACTCCTCGAGAGACAAAGGCTGCCCATTCGCATCCTGGGGGAGGGGGTCCGTCGCCACCGAGGGGGGGAAGGAATCATCATCGGGCTGGGCCATTATCAATCGAGACCAAAACAATCGCTCTGAGGGCTGGCAGTTACGGGCAGCCTCGATCAGATGAGGCTCAACGGCTTCGCTGCGGGCCGCTGCAACCTCTGGGTCATCATATAGCCACTGACGGTGGAAGATCGAGTCAGGTTGGCCGCACTTGGGACAAAGTCCGTCTGAAATGTAACCTGACTATTGCAAACGGTCTGCCGTCCAGCAGCCATTTGAAAAACATGAGCAGATCCAATACTTTGCTCGCGGCGGGGTTCGCTTCGAACGGAGGAGGGAGCGGAGAGGGTCCACGCACACACGCACACCATCGAACGAGGGGAGACTCGCCGCCAATCGTCTCTCGTGGGATCTCTGAACTCCTGACTGCAAAAGACTGGCAACCATGGCTGGACTGTGATACAGCAAATCAACTACATTGCCCTTATCATCTTGCCACCTACTATAAAACTAAGTGCCTTCCAGCCTATACGATCTAAACTCAGAAGCATTCGATGACCTGGTCCCCGAGAAGTCCTCCACTCAGATGGAGGAGGAGGAGGAGGAGGAGGAGGAGGAGGACCAGGCGCACTGTCTGAGAAGGCGAGC